ACTCCCTTTTATTCTATTGGCTTTTGAAAGCCAATAGAATTAGACTCTCTTGAATAGAGTCTAATTCTATTGGCTTTCAAAAGCCAATAGGAATTGTCCAGCCTGTCTCTGCCCTGCTGAGCCCGCCAAAAGTCCCATTCTGCAAACGGCGCTGCAAGTTGTCTGCAGCGAAGGCGAGCTGTCTGGAAGTTTCCACCCCTCCCTGCTGAGCAACTACTAAAAATGTAAGTAAAAGAGGGCCAGGGGTGGGAGGTGGGAGGCCGGTGGGTGCAGGGAGGGTTGCTGGCGCGCGTGAGGCCCGGCGGGTGCCTTACCTCCCTTGGGCTGGGCCAGCTGGTGGTCGGCCTGCTCTGTCTCTGCCGCTTGCCAGCTACGCCTCGGCCGGCGCAGGGGGCAGCACCACGCATGTGCAGCGCTCCCGGGCAGGGAAAGTCCTCAACTTAACAACCGGTTGGGTAGTCCTCGACTTACAAGCAGTTGGGGGTTGCGACATTAAAAAGGTTGAGAACCACTGCTTTAAAGGGCATGGGGTTGGTGAGACTTTACTTTAGAGAGATGCATCCCAAAAGAATGTTGCTATTTTTTTTAAAAAAAATATCTTGCTAATTCCCTTGAACTGTCTAGAAAGGGGCTGGTTGACAATGAAAGCCAGTTTTTGAATCACAAAATAAAAAAGGCTTTTAAAAGGAATGAGCATGCCATTGTATTCTTCTGTACACCCATCCTGTGTGTTTGTGCTTTTTATCCCTTGAAAATTTCAATGTATCTGACCAGCCCAGGTCTCAGGCTGCATTCATTGAAGCAAGAGGCAGTTATCAAGAGGCAGCTATGATTTTAATATCACTAGGAAAAGAGTAGGGGCTACCATTTCTGGCTGTGTAGGAATCATGTTCATAGATGGCCTCCTCCATATAGTCATTTGTATTTTCTTGATTTGCTCTTTGGGAAGATAGGGAAAAAAAGAGGAGGTTTGGAGGTTTCTGGCTCAGGAGTTCTTCTTGGCTAAAAACATGGATTACCTAATGGAGGTACCTAATGGAGCCTGCCCATTCCATTCGTAACTCGAAAACTCGTAGAGTGAATCTCATACCTCGAATGAGACCACTCCCTTGCTCATTAAGATGCACACGGCTCTTTAAGTGAACATGAGGTATTTCAGGGTGCAGAAGCCATGGAGGGTCTAGTGATGGAACAGGTCCCCGAGGCCTCCCCAACCCACTAAGATGCCTCATGCTTCTCCCTCCCTTCCTGTTGCGCCAGACTCACCTGGAAAAGATCCGTCTCCTCTCTGCTGCGGTTCCTGCTGCCTCCTGGATCTGAGGCCGGGGAACGCTTCCGCGCCCCCCCTTCTGGCCCGATCTGGCCACTGCCACCCGGAAATGGACCATGCAAACGCCACAGAAGCATCCCCTGGCCTCAGATCCAGGCAGCAGCAGCTTGGAAAAGGCCTCCAGAGCCCGGATCGGGCCACAGGAGGGGCGCAGAAGCATCCTCTGGCCTCAAATCCAGGCAGCAGCAGCTTGAAAAAGGCCTCCAGAGCCCGGATTGGGCCACGGGAGGGACACAGAAGCATCCTCTGGGCTCAGATCCGGGCACTAGCAGCCTGGAAAAGGCCTCTAACGCCCTGATCCAGCCTCCGGAGGCATGTGGAAGCGTTCACCAGCTTCAGTTCCGTTTTCTGTTGCAGAAAACAGAGGCCTAAAGTACCATGAGAACACACAAGATCAGTAGCGTGAGATCTCGCCCCACTGATCTTATGCAATCTTGCGTTACTTTAGGCCTCTATTCTCTGCAAACGCACCAAAGGCCTGGAACAGCCAACAAAGCAAAGGATCTTGATCTTTGTAAGGTGAGTATTGAAGGCCTGGTGCCTAGGGAGACCCGGGCATGGGTGGGGAGGGAGGGAATAACCTGGGTGAATGTTGCAGTGCCACTGCGGTCACTTGTAAGGGCGAATGACTGCCGTGGTGTGGCAACATTCATAATTTTGGAACTTGCTTGTAAGCACTAGGGGGCGCTCATTATGTAACTTTGAACGAGCGTTAAGTGAACGCTCGTAACTCTGGGATTACCTGTATAAGACTCCCAACAAAGAATATAAAACCAGGAGTATTTTTTATTAGCTTTGGTTGAAAACAAAGCAATTTCTTTCCACTGATATGAAGATGATGTCAGTTTGGTGCAAATTAAAAAGGAAATTCATCACTGAAATACCATGTGATCAAAATATATAGATAAGATCAATCTGCCAGGAGATGCCAATGTCCAGGGATTCAGCCAAACATGCAGTTTTACTCACGACCTTTTCCTTCTTCAGAATATTTTAATATTTCTTTTGAATCAGGTTAGTAGGGCAGAATTCCTTAAACAATACAATAAAGTATCTTCACACTCTTAAATCCTAATCTTAATCATAAATTTAATCTTTTAACAAACTCTTTTTACAAAATCAAAGAGAAAGGGGGATCATAATTGATAATTTTTTACATATGCAAAATTAAAAAGCGGTGCACTCCTTATGTAAATGAAGTATGTCTTATTTTGGACAAGATCTTAGTGGTAGCTTAAGCTCTGTGTGGTAGCCTATATTCAGGATTACTTCTAAAGTGTCTAGTTACAAATATGAGTAATAACTGAGCAATCTTCCTGTATTGAATTATACCAAGGAATCTAATGCTACTATGCTAGATCAAAGTCTTGCTACACCTGTGGCCCATGTAGGAGCAGGAGAGAGGAACAGAGCAAGTTAACATATTTCCTCTCCATCTGCCAACATTCAGGTTAAAATACATTAATCTATCCATGGTAATTGTAATGGTTCAAATATAATACAATACCATGGAACATCTTTTTGTTGTATCTAGAAAAGCATAAGAATCAGACTATAGAGCAGAGCACCAAAAGGTCAGATTGATAGATGCCAACCATAAGCTGCTAAGGACATAACCCAGTATTCAGTACTGAAGAATAATCCTGTCTTTTACCACTTAAGAACTTGGGCAGCTGCTGTTCTAAAATATCTTTATTCAAAAGGGTACAGAACAGTAATTAAAATAGGAACATTGAACTCCCCAATAAAAATACACACATTAATAAAAGAAAATTCATGCCTATAGCCCTAATTATATGAACAAGGGGGAAAAACCCCTAATTTATACTGAATAACTATGAATATGTTTTTAAATGGTAACAAACATTGGTACCTTGTTGATGAATTGTGATAATATCAAGGCCCTTTTAATTCTAAATTAGAATAAAAGAACTTGAGACTGTGAAAGCTTCTTTGGAAATCAGGGATGAGAAGTTGATTGCAAGATGAATATGTGAACCATTTGTGTCTCTGTTGTGGTTCTTATTTGCCTGCTTTTTACTGAGGAATAAAAACTTCTCCCTGAAACTTTGTTTTTAGATATGGCAATTGCAAGGAATTGCGACCCTACGCGCAATGGAGGGATGGTTGGTGATGATGGGATTTGCAAAGATGGCTAGATTGTCTTTCTTGATTAGAGAAAAGACAGTATCTACATTTATGATTGACTTAATGCTTTTTGCATTAAACAGGAAAAAATGCACTTATGGCTTGCAGTGTTGATGATTAGAAAAAAAATGGATAATAGAAGTAAATGAGCTTTTTTGTAATCATAGAGCAAGAGATAACTTTGTAATTCTTATATTTGCTACAGAGGAAATCAAAAGCTTTTTATCTTTCTAATACTTTTGCTTTTTTCTTTTTCTCTTTGCGTTCTTCATTCTGTATTTGTGTTAATTTTTATATTTTCTTTAAAACTTTTTGTAAGATTTATATATAAAAAGAAATCAAAACATTAAGGTAATTTTTTAAAAAAATAAACAAAAGCAGATAAAAAATAATTAAAATTAAATAAATGTATCATACATCACATTTGTATCTGCATTTCTTAATACAGACATTTTAACTATCCATATTTAAAATTTCTAAGCAAAATTACATTTGTACAGATCAGGCTAGTCTGTTGATAAGAGCATTGTTAACATAGCTAATAAATAATGATCACAGTTGAATTTTTTTTTAGATCTTTTCCCCCAAATTAAACTGTATTTAATTTTTAAGCAGAACAAATGCCCATACTTTTAATATAATTAATTGAATGAAATTAATTTCATGGAGTCATGGAATGTAAAGGTTGAGAGGGATCTATTTTTCAGTGTTTTATAGCGGAGGTCCCCAATCTTTTGGGCACCAAGGATTGGTTCCGTGGAGAAAGGTTTTTCCATGGACCAGAGAGCGCGTGGTTTTGTGTGCTGCCTGCATCTCGCGGATGGGGCTTTACTTGTTTGTGCGGCCCGGTACCAGTCCACAGATTGGAGGTTGGGGACCCCTGTTTTATAGTGACAAATCTAGTCACTAATAACACATAAACCAATAAATTCATGTATATTCCTCAGGAAATATGAAATAAATAATAAGATTTATTGTAAAAGATGATTGGGTAATTTCCCCAATTTCTTCAAAAACTTGTTACTAATTGGAGTTGATGATCTAAAAGTAGCAGTATGCTTGCAATCCTGCCAGCATAATCCAGAAAGGTTATAATTTATTTAGTGTCATGTACTATCATTTCAACATTAGTACTATTACCTATAAGATATCTTCATGGTCAGTTCTTCTTGCCCTGCTGAAATAAATTCTGTGCCACAAAAAACTGTAGTAATCAAGTTCAGATACCAACTGATACTTGCAGAGTTTTTAAAGATTCGGTGTAAGAGTTTTATGATATATTAATATGACCAAGAATCCCTTGCTTTTAAGTGAAGTAGGTCTACATCTTTCTTCAGCTGTTCTTAATTCTCTTAATTGATGCAATCTAGATAATTTATGAAGGAATTATTGAACTTGACTTACTTGAAACCAAATTGAACATGAAATTAGGAAGGCTCCTTTGATAACCAACACAATGAGATGAGAAGTTGGCTGCAGTAAGTATATATAAAATGATGACATTCCTTCTTTTCCCAAACAGGAGGTTTCCAGGTTATGTCCTTTGAGCAGCCAAACAACTGCGTAGAAGCTGAGACCCTTTGTCTAGCTGAGCCTTCCTGCAGTGCCACCTATCAGATCCTGCGAAACTGTTCCCAGCATCTTTCTAAGAATAGTTACATCTTCCTGTACCAAGAAGCCAACAACAGATGCACAGAGGCACAAATAAAAATGAGAAATGGCCATTTTCAGCACTGCAAATGTCACCGACGTGCACAGAAGAAGGAAGAGCAGTGCTTGCAAATCTACCGGGCTCTTCATTCAACTTTAACACAAGGTGTGATAGAAACTTGATGATGATTGATTTTCTTGTATCACTAGAGGCAATAGAGAAAAAAAAAAAACCAACGTTCTGGTAGAAACAAATGCTTAGACCTAAGAGGAAAATAACCGGCATCAGTGTCTGAAATCTCATTAGTCTTTCCCAGCTTTGCCACTTGAGACTTTTAAATAAAGAAGCTGGAGACTGAAGTCCAACCCCCTTACGCTCAGGGCCATAAGGAGCATTGTACATCATAATAAGTTATAATCTATTAGAAAGGCTTGCACTACAGGAATGTGTTTTATGCCTTAAAAGATGAGAAATACAATGGCACATTTTAGCAAGGACAAAGAGGTTGTTGTCCAGGAACCAGAAAAAAGGGTGAAGGACTGAACTCAAAGACCCCATTTGGAAGTGCCCTCTTAAGATTAGTCCTCAGACAGGGCTATTTGTGGGAGAGAGCAAAGACAACTTTTGTTGTACATATCTCCATTGGAATCCCATTGACAGACGCCCTGGTTCAAACTCAGCAGAAACTACCTACAGTAGATGCTTGACACAGCATGGCTAGCTAAGAATCTTTATTGCATACTGAATGAAGCCTATTTAAGCAAGTGATCATCTTCTGTCAATATGAGACTGTTGTTCCTTTTTATACCCATTGTGATTTAAGTTCAGCACTACTCCCCCATCCCTTTCCCACATCTTAATGGGCATTTTGTTTTGCCATTTTCAAGAGTGTTGTTCCCTTCTGCTGTATCCTCCCATTCATCAGCCAGTAGAAAAACAAATTGGTTTAGATTTTGCTGTTCCCATCACTAATCCCAGTTACTGTATCTATTTCCTATGTAGGGAAGATTATTCCCCCCCCCCCGTCAGCTGGGTCTAGGAGGTCATACAGTAGATGCCTCAGCAATAGAGGAAGTGGTTTCCACCTTCTTTGAAAGAGGCAGTGGTGGCACCGGCAGCAGGCAAGGCGCGGAGGCATGCGATCCGGCCTGCCCAAAAACCTATGGTGGCATGGAGCGGGCGGGGTCTTAAGTAGGGCTTATTTTTGTGGTAGGGCTTATATTAGGTCCAACCCTAAAAATCAAGCTAGGTCTTATTTCCAGGGTAGGTCTTATTTTCGGAGAAACACGGTACTGTCACCACTGGTCAGCTGATCATTTCGGCTGAACCAAGTCTCCAAATTGGAATTAGTTCAGAGGCATAGCAGGTAAAGAGGAAGAGCCCAGTTTGAAAGAACTGGGCATTTTCATTTCTGAAAGCAGTAGAGGACAATGTGTGGGAGGTGATGGCTATTTGTGTGCACTTACTTAAACTGACTAATAGTTGCGAAGCTGATGCAACCTTACAAGGAGTAAATTGACAGCTATTAAAATGTACTGTATACAAGGGTCTTGCCATTTAATCAAAGAAAATCTAGTAAATCCCAGATGATGACGATGTTACCATTCAGTTGTGTCCAACTCTATGGGCCAGGTCTCTCCATTTCTTCCGATCTTGCACTATTTTTTTTTTTTTTGAGTTTTTCTATTCTCTGGCTGTGTCAGCTTTGATAGTGTCCAACCATCATGTTCTTTGGCAGCTTTGTTTCCTTTTACTGATAACTCTTCCAAACATAATTATTTTCTCCAATGAATTCCTGCGCATGACATGGCCAGAATCAGTGAGACGTAGTTTTGTGATTTTTCTTTCTAGTGACTTGTGGTGTTATGTACTCCAGTACTTTCTTGTTGGTCACCTTTGCTGTTCAAGAAATACACAAGTGCTTTTCCAGCATCACGGCTTATTATTATTAGCATATGGCATTGTTTCATTAGCCAGGAGACCACAATGCTATTGCAGAGTAGTAGTTTGGCTGTCAATTTACATGCTGTGTTGTAGGACATGCCTGTGCACTTCCCAAAGTGTGCCACAGGAGGGCAAGCTGGCTTCTCACCAGAAAGAAAATCAAGTAGCTCTGCCTGCAGTGTCATCCTAGCCCCACATTTCCCCAGAGCTGCCTCATAAATGGGCGCAGCAACCAGGAAGTTTCAGAATGGCAGAAATCTGACTGCCTGCACAGAGCACCAACTCATTTCCCTCCCTCCGATCGAAGTGGTATCTACTTGCATAGCACATGGTTTCAAACTGTTAGGTAGGCAGAAGCTGAGGCGAGTGATGGGAGCTCACCCCGCCATACAATGCTAGGACTCCCAACTGCTGGAACAGAAACCATCTCCATCTCCATTAAGCCACTGAGCCCCGTGCCTCTTACCACCACAGCTCAAATGAGTTGATTTTCTTCCTGTCTTGCTTTTTAATGGCAAGCACCCAGTAGTTCAGGCCTATTTTTCACCTCAATTGTATATGTCATAGGGATTTTGGTGACATCAAATTTCTTTGGAGGCACTGCCTCTTCGATGGTGCATAGTTTGACTTTAATCTTTGCCACCAACACTTCATGATCTGAGCCACAATTAGCACTTAGATATGTATCCTAGATATATAATGTGAAGACAAATAAATAATTGAAACAATTTTATTCTGGAACCTATATTAAGAACCTAAAACATTACACTGCTTTATATTGTTTTAGATAAATAATAACTTTAAGCATAATTCCACAGTGTATATTATAGTCTGATATTAGCAATATTTGCCTCCCAAACTAACTGTGTTGTTTACTATGTAAACTGTGTAATGTACACTTTGCTCTGATCAGGCAAGCCCATTTTCTAAAACTCTTGTTTTTAGATAATGGTTTCTCATAATCTCTTGGGAACCTTTCAGTACTCCAGCAGATAAAATTATATTATTTTATGTTGTACAGATGACTTTCATTTGGAGGTGCTTCCCCATAGGGAAATAGCAAACGAAAAAGCTATGAAGACAAAATACAACAAGCTGGCAACTTGTGTCTCAGATAGAATTTATATCAGCCATTTGCACCTTTAGCATACTGCCTAGAATCTAGGTAATAAAAAAGGTAATAAAAAATCTTACAAAGAAGTTAAATAAAGAAATTCAGACCTCTTTTTTCCTATAAATTGTATATAGGGTAAATCTAAGTAGCAGCAAATATTTAACAGGCAGTTTTAAAGATAGCTTCAAGAAAATATAGATTGGGTGAAACCAGGCTTTATAGCAGCAACTGTGAGAGGGATCTTGGAGTCTTAGTGGACAATCAATTAAATATGAGTCAACAGTGTGCGGCGGCAGCCAAAAAAGCCAACACAGTGCTAGGCTGCATTAACAGAGGGATACAATCAAGATCACTCGTGAGATACTAATACCACTCTATAAAGCCTTAGTAAGACCACACCTAGAATAGTGCAATCAATTTTGGTCTCCACAGTATAAAAAAGATGTTGAGACTCTGGAGAGAGTGCAGAGAAGAGCAGCAAGGATGATTAGAGGACTGGAGACTAAAACATGTGAAGAACAGTTACAGGAACTGAGCATGGGTAATCTAGTGAAGAGAAGGACCAGAGGAGACATGATAGTAGTGTTCCAATATTTGAGGGGCTGTCACAGAGAGGAGGGGTCAACCCATTTTCCAAAGCTCCTGAAGGCCAGACAAGGAATAATGGATAGAAACTGATCAAGGAGAGATTCAACCTGGAAATAAAGAGAAATTTCCTGGCAGTCAGAACAATCAATGGAACAGACTGCCTTTAGATGTTGTTGGTGTTTCATCTCTGGAGGCTTTCAAGAAGAGACTGGACTGTCAGAAATGGTGGGACTCCTGCTTGGGCAAAGGGTTGGACTAGATGACCTACAAGGTCCCTTCCAACTATTCTACTCTACTCAAACATTAAGGCACAGAGGCAGATAAAGACATTTCTTTGAACCCTTGGTTTTCTACTCTTAACCAAAGACCATTACTTTCACAGAAAAAGTAACCACATTTCCTCCACTCTAATTAATCTGTAATTAATTTTACCAAAATCAGAATCTCAGCCATAAAGTGATGTCTCCACAGTTAATCTCACACTGTCAATCAATGCACAGCAAGCCGCCACCTAAAACCAAAAGTACAATATCTTCCAAAACTTATAAATCTCCACACATAAGCTTATTACATCTAAGGTTACTTTTCATCCAGATATCTGCCCCATCCACCCATCTCTTGCATGCATTCCCAGCTCTGCCTTCTACAATACCAGCTGACTTTCTAAATACTTGATTGCATTCTCAGATTTTTTTTTTCTGCTACTCTCCCCAGTTTCCAGAAGAATACAGTATTTCCCGCAGACACCTTTTTCAGCTAACTAATTGAAGAACAACCATTTCCCAGCCCAATTCTTTTATTCTGAAGAATCATCCGAGTCCAGAGGATATGTTGCCCATTGGTAGCACATTGCCAACTCCAGCAGTTTATCCACCTGACCATAACCCCAACTAACTATTGTTCAGACTACTGACAAAAATGCTGAATAACTTATGAAGAAATGACTTTCCTCATGAAGTTCTCAATTCATGTAAGAAATATTATAGTAGATTTGCAGAAGGAAGAGGCATTATTTAAAACACTTCCACTGATTTTGTTCTTATTTCATAATATTTTTAACTAGCTGTTCCCAGCCACGCATTGCTGTGGCTCAGTCTGGTTAAATGGAAAAGAAAGAAAAGAGAAAGCGCACGTTTGTAATATGTTTAATTTCACAATGCTTGTGGGTAACAATATTTTTTGTTGTTCCATTGTCTGTGCAAATATAGAGATTGTCTGAAATCGTAGCATGTGTTGCTTTTACGTCCAACAGATGGTGCTGTTTTTGGAAAACATGTTTTTACCTGTCACAGGTGTGACATCTATATAATATAGGTATATAAAAATACGTGCGTATTCGAATGTAAAGTTGTGTCAAAATTTTAAAGCAATCGGTGAAGAACTTTCAGAGATTTAAGATTTTGAACAAACGAACATTTACATTTTTATTTATATATAGATATATAAAAATAATATAGAATATAGAAGATATAGATATAGATAGATTAGGCCAGTGGTGTGTATGGCACTTTTACAGAGTTGTCCCAAGGAGCTTTCTGTCTTAAATTTGACATTGGATAAAGAATAAAAAGAGAGACATGGATTAAACAGACAAATAATTCATTATTGAATTGTAGAGAGATTCTGGTGATTGTCTTTTCTGTTTAATCTCCTTTGGCAAATCATTTCTGGAGTTTGCTGTTACCTCCTTGTATTTCTATGGATTTATAGGTTCCCCTAGAGCGAAAGATAGCCCAAATTCCTGCCTGCTTGCTGCTAATATTTGCCAAATGGACCACAAATGCATGCGTCACCGCTCACACTACGCTCAGGCCTGCAGCCCAGGATACCCCTGTGACCAACACAAATGCCACCAAAGTCTGAGACGCTTCTTTGAGAAGGTTAATGCGGATTTCACCAAGAGGCTCCTGTTTTGTCCTTGCCAAGATGAAGCTTGTGGGGAACGACGCTGGAAAACCATTGTCCCAGAATGTTCTTTCCTCAGCAGCAGCAGCAAGCCTAATTGCCTCTTCTTGCTGGATACCTGCCTCAAGGATAAAATCTGCAGGTGCGTCTAATGGAATGACTATCTGAATAAGTTTCATGGCATCTGGGCACCTGAATATTAATGTCTATAAGAGCAGTAAAAGAGATGTGTTACAATTCTGATAGGTGTGATGTACCTACCTATTTAAAAAATGCACACAAACCCACAAGCCTATCCAGAAGTGGCCACAAGGGGGTTAGTATGTCAACTCATGTGACATCACTGTTTCACTACAATCCCTCAGGCCCTCTGTTATCTTTATAAAAATGGGAAAATATAGTGCAATCTCCCACTTTAAAAATTGCTCAATTTTGATTTACTCTATCAAATAATGGAAAAACTAATAAATTGTTTCTGGGCTAATAAAGGGTTTGTCATTCTGATAGTCGTGTCTCCTGTCAGATCCCGGCTGACTGATTTCCAAGAAAAATGCAAATCGTTACAGACATTCACAGATGGCTGCTCTCCATCGAATCATGCAGCATGTCTGCAAGCTTACATGAAGATGATTGGTATGTGTTGGACCTGGTGGAATTTATTGGGAAGTTTGATAGAAAATCTTTTCTGACTTTGACTATGTTGCCCAAATGGGTCTCCGTACTCCCATATAGACGCCTCTATTTCTATAATCCTTTGCCTGGTTAGCTCTAGCCACAGGGTTCTGAAATCAACACATCACTTGATTAATGTTTGATATGAATTGGTAGTCCTTAGTGACTCATTATAGAATATCCCCAATATAGGTTGTTGACAGTTAAATGACTACATTATATAGACTGAAATTTCTCTGAAAAAAAATGGGTACAGGAAGTTTATTGAAACTAGCTTATTTCCAGATCAGAATTATATAGTCTTAGGCTGCTGATTGAAAAGAGTGATTCACCAGTTTTATTCCATATTTAAAGAAAACAGTTCTATGGTTTTGTATTAGCCTTTTTGGTTTAGGAATTAAAAGGTAAATCTCCTTTAAAACTATCTTTTAAAACTGTCTTGATTAAAACTATCTTGTAATTTAATGAACACATGTATGTAGTTTTCTTGGCAACAACACACTCATGACTTACTATCGCTTTCTTCTGGGATGTCTGGTTTTATTTTATTTATTTGAAACAGGTACATCTTTGACCCCCAATTATGTGAGCAATTCGAGTACTGAGATCACACTTTGGTGCTCCTGCAAAAACAGTGGCAATTATAAAGAGGACTGTGATCAAATCCTTAACTTATTTTCCAGCAACAAATGTCTCTGTAAGTCAATATTGAAATGAATATTAGGGTCAGATCTTGATTCTTCTAACCCAAAAAGTTTCCCAGTGGAATAGATTGGGAGAGGATTCTCTAGAGAAATGAAAGTAGGTTTCTATACAGTGCAAAATTAAATTTGAAAGTTAACTGCTAGAAGACTTTAATAAATACTCCATTTATATTCCACCAGTCTTTCAAGGACATGCAGGTGATCAGGTCCATTACAGATTTTCATAAAGATGGGGAAAATTCATGGAGGATAGATCTGCCAGGTACTGTCAGGATACTGAAATGCAGATGAGATTTATTCATTTTTCACATTTATACACTGCTGCAGTATCAAAGGATTTTGAAAATATAAAAAATACCCTGCTCTTGCCTTCATCCATTGCTTATTGTATCTTTATCATTATCATTAATTATTCTTACCTTATTAATACCTTCATTAATTACATTTGCATTCAATAAAAGAACACCATCAACTTCTTCATTTTGCTGATAACTGGAAATATGACAGTCACCTGAGCACAAAAAGTATATTTGTTTTCTATCCCCATCATTGCCTATACACTTTAGAAAGTTAAGCTTGTAAGATAAATATTTTTCACTATTGTAAAAGTGAGGTTAAACATTGGTTTCAATTCTTAATATTTCACCTTTTTAAATTAGAAAAAATGCTTATGAAAAAAGTTTTTCGTGCTTCTTGGTTAATTTTTAATTATGATTCATTATCAGATTCTCTTATCCTCTTTCAAAGATAAGAAAGACATATGCCTGAACTTGATTGATAAGTTCAAGTCCCTGCCAAGCCTGGTGATACATTTCACTGGAATAGTTTTCTTGCTCAAGAGCAATATACAGTGAGTTAATTGCCAAAATGTTCTTGCATTAAAGCCAAAAATTGATGAATAAAGAAACTGCAGGTTTCTGTGTAGCCAAGGAAGAATGAAAAATGCCTGCTAGTTTTTGATAGAGACTTGTGAAAAATATAACTACAGTAATTGACCAGCATATTTGCTGTGCTAAATAAAACTAGAGCCTTCAACCAATGGCTCAGAATTTGTATCATGGATATATGAACAGTTAGATAGAGATCCTCAACACTCCCCCATGTTCTCTGTGTCACAGATAATGCAATCCAAGCTCAGATGAATCTTGGCCAAAATAATGAGGACCAGCCGCAGGACCAGCCGCAATTCACCCCTTCCTTAGGCATTCATGGCACCAGCACAATGTTCACGGAAAAACCGTGTCAGGTAAGATAATTAAACTATACTATAACTGAAATCAGAGATATGATATGACTAAAATTACCAGCGGTCAGTTAAATATATTCTGAGAGGTTTTCACCTTTGACTCAGAGAGGCCTCCAGAACAGTGGTTCTCAACCTGTGGCTCGGGACCCCATTTGGGGTCGAACGACCATTTCACGGGGGTCGCCAAACAACGCAGTCTGCCATTTTTTCCCCCTTTTCCTTAGCTGTGCTACTCCCTTTTATTCTATTGGCTTTTGAAAGCCAATAGAATAGACTCTCTTGAATAGTGTCTAATTCTATTGGCTTTCAAAAGCCAATAGGAATTGTCCAGGCTGTCTCTGCCCTGCTGAGCCCGCCAAAAGTCCCATTCTGCAAACGGTGCTACACCAGTTGAGTAGTCCTCGACTTACGACCAGTTGGGGGTCGCGGCATTAAAAAGGTTGAGAACCACTGCTCCAGAACATCCAACAGAAAAAAAGGGAGAGGAAGAGAGAATTTAAATGAGATATATCCAATCAGAACTTAATGTTTTTCCTCTTTCTCTGTCTCCCTTCCTTTATAGGAACCTAAGGTGAAGCAGGAGAAGAAAGATTCAGAAATTCTTACCCTCAAGCACAAATCACCCCCAAATTCTGAATACCCCAGAGCTGGGTTTTCCTCACTCATCTTGGTCTTAACCTTAGTCTTCTTATTTCTTGGCCCACCTTAATCTCACCTGAATTTCATTGCTACTATTGTATATTTCCTTGAGAAGGGGAAACTGACTTGTTTCATGCAGAGAGGAAGCATTAGTCACTCTACATTTGTTTCCCCTTCTGTCAGCACAGTGGCCCTTCGACTCATTTTTGTACACAGTTGCAATAGAAGCCAGGGGGAGATGATGGGGAGTTCAGATTCCCCCTCCCCGGTGGAGAAAAAAGCAAGCAGATAGGAGATTCTAGGGAACTATTTTTTAAAACCTAAATCAGGGTAAAGTTTTCATATTCCAAGATATCCTGCTTTAAGAAGACAAAGAAAAACTGGTAGTCTCTAAAATGATGTGCAATTTCTGGCCAAAGGAGCACCCCAATGTCTGGACTGTTTTCAGGACTATATTGTAGAATTGTCTTTTTTTTTTTTTTTAATCAGCCAAAGCAAAAATATTACATTAAAGGCATGATACTAAACTATAGCCTCCGTACATGGTTTTTTGTTTGCCCAACTAATCTTAATGTGTTAACTGTTCAGGGGAAATTTAATTCACTTGAGCCAAGATGGATTTATGTATTTTTTTCAATAAAATGGTTCTTAGCAACAGCTACAAAGTCCAGATTTTCATAAGAGCCTGCATGCAAGCTAAGATTTTATGCACAACAGATCCCTGGATGCATCAAATGTTGTTTGCCATGTTAACATTCCCTTACATACCTTTCTGTACATTGTGTAAAATTACAAGTTATCCATGATCTGACAATTGTGGGTGTAGAAACTGTGATATTAGATGTTGTTTTTTTGAACCGCAATGGTATGTTGTTAATGCTGTTTATAGATTACTTATTTACATTTCTTATATGGATACTGCTATGTGAAACCTTCAAGTTTTGAAAGAACTATCAAGTAAATCCAGTAATTCTTCATTGCATCTCTTTTCTTATTCTAAACAACTGGAATGTTGTGGCTGTGAAGTTGCCTATCATATGTGCAAGGATTAAGGCTGTGCTGCATTCCATAGTGGTGTTTATTCTAAAACAAAGTTGTAACATAACATATAATGTAATAAATTCTCTACATTTTAGCATGTTGTGCACTTTTTTAAATTGTGGCATAGGTTTTCTCTTCTGAACAGTGAAGAATCTTGGTAGAAAGATCCTTCACCAATCTGAAGCTTCATCTTCATTTACTGTGTGCTTAGTATCAAAAAATGAAGGCCTAATTTGCAGATTCCTTCACCTTTCTGCAGTAATAATGGCACCTATTACTGAAATTATAAAAGGATTTGTCCCCACTTTTTCAATTTGCAGTTATATTTGTACAAAGAAATTTGGAAGCATGGCTTATTTTTAAAAAAGCAAGAAATGTTACTAGAAGGAATATTAAATCTTATTAACAGTTTTTTCAAACAATTGTGACTATAAAATAAAATGTTAGAACATATTATAGATTGGAATTAATCATTTGGAGTTTTGTACAAATTCTGAAGATGAGTTATAGAATCCAGTTAGATAAGTTAATAATTTTGCAACACTACAATTTCCATTAAGAAGACATGACAAAAGTGCAAAGTATTGGAAAGCCCTAAAATTAAAGTGCATGGGTAAAGATAGTTTTTTAAAAAATCATAGCACTTTTTTACATGATTGACTTTCTGCAGTTATTACATTCATAATAGATTTACAAGAGCTAGAGGTACAACAATTACAAAACTGAACTTCCATACTATAATGAATTGAGAAGCAAACTATAGGTTTTAAAGGTGTCCTCATATGGCATGCATGTACATCAACAAAACTTTGATGAACTTCCTTTTCTTCACTTGGGCTGCTCTTCTGTTTCCTGAGGTCCATGCACACCTTGGGAAATAAGACTCATTTAGCCTTCATGAGCTATTTAGGCTTCTCTCTCCTTCCCCTAGATTGGAGGAGAATCTCCTATAGGCCTCGTGTACTGCCTATGTATATGATAAGAGGGAGAACAAGATATTGAAAAGTGTGGTATTAACAACTGCCAAGGTCAATGTTTATCAACTGTGGCAACTTTTAAGTTATATGAATTTCAACTTCCAGAAATTCTAGTGACTGGAGAATTCTGGGCGTTGAAGTCCATAGTTGCAATGGGTTGAGGAACATTGGCTTAGGACATGCCAGTCAGCATTTTCAGCTAAAGTATTGTTCCTCCTCCATTTTCTTACATTGTTCTAATACTTATTTTATACTTCTTATATGGTTATATTGATTTTATTTCATATAATATTGAGTACATCAGCAACTCCCATGCCTCTCCTGAAAGGAGAAACTGCAGAACACTAGACATTCCTAAAATGTTATCAAGTGTCTATAGTATATTGTCTAGGTCTCTTGGCAAACATAAAAGAAGTAAGAGTATTCTGAATTACTGTAATAAAAATTCCAATATCTTGCACATAATGTCAAAAATAAAGTTTACTTTACAACTCTGGGCGTCTTCTTTTTCCCCCTTGACTTCAGCAAGAGATGTATTGAATGTCAGTACCTCTGTGATGATTCTACAATACAGACAGCTCTTAATCTCAGTTATGAAAATGGAACTAAGCCACATATTTATATATAGTCTCATCACTGTTTGCACTATTTAGTTGTGTGACTATAAGTAAACCCAGAAAAAATTATTCCTCAGCTATTTTGAAAGTGGGTTGTTACTTCATACATGAGAGAGGTATTTCCCCAAAGCCATGAAGTAAAAAGACACTCTTTCTCACAATGCAAAGCTAGTTCTCACTTTAGATCATTTGCTGAGTGACAGTGGAGAAATACATTTCACAATAACTACTCTAGTGCAATTTAAACTGAAGTGGGTTTTATTGGTGATTTTAGCTACAGTAGTTGCGAGTATCAGCATATTTGTAATAAGCATTTTGAATTTGAAAAAAATCTTGCTTCAGTTACAATTGAGATCTAAATTACATAAAATGTCAAATGTAACATTGCATCTAGCGTGTTGTTTTTAGAAATGAAAATTGAATTAGCACAGAAGCCAGTAAGTAATGAAATCAGAACTGCTATATAGAGGAATACATTTCTTTTTTAGATCTGAGGACAATTCCTTTTCCAAAGCAAAACCTCTTGTTGGGAGATGGGAAATTTTCATAGTTACCAATGCTCTGGTAACACCCGTAAGATTTTTTGTTAGAAACTCCCTTTTCCTAGGAAAATGCTCTGAAGTATCATTGTTCACTTTTCTCCTTTTGAATAAATCACACAAATGGTTCCTGGTTAATAAAGGTAAATGGGATTAGGCTTTCCATCACTTGTGAGCTGGTTACTAAGCACCCAGATCATGATCATAACCATGGGAATGCTGCAATGACTTGAATTTGACCAGTTGTAAGTTCCATTTGTTCAGCACCATTGTATATTTTGTCGGGGAACAAGTGGTTGTTCAGCAAGGACCACCTGTACTTGAGTAAGTGATACAGTATTACATCTCCAGATATTTCTGAATTGTATCAGGAAAAAAGATCGGCTATATATCTGTTCTTGGACAACTGAGTTGACTTTTAATGCCATCAACTCTGATATTCTCTTATAGCACTTGAATTGAGATAGGAGACAATGATATTGATCTGCTTATATTTAGCAAATAGACCTGCTATGTTATGGTTTTATCCTTTAAATTACATCAAGCTCTATTTTCTGTCCCATGCTGTTCTACATTTACATTACACTAAAGCTGTCTAAAGAAACAAAAGTTATATACATGCTTTTGACAGCTGGCAATATTTTTTATCTAACCTAGATTGATCCTGGACTAGGTGAGAGGATGGAAATATTGCTGATGAACAGTCACTAATAAGAGAGGAAAAAGCAGTGACTTCTTCAGCATTAGTTGCAGTCTCCCTTAATGATCAGCTGCACAATTTGGGAAGTAGTATTGAATGAGGCCTTAATTTTAAATAAGGTACAAAACCTGTTTAATCAAGCATTTATCTGCCAGATACACTTTTAACATATTTTAGTGATCATTGTGATATGTGGTAGACTGATATGTTTACCAAATATTTTTTTTGGTGCTGGCTAAACTGGTGGAGAAGGGCTGAGGAGATACAGATCCAAGCCTGCTCAGAATGGTAGAAGCCACAGCTGACTGGATCCTTGCTCTATCTCAGTCCAACTTACTTCATAAGAGAGCATTTGGAGGAGAGAATGTAATGAATGCTACTGATTTCCTAGGGGGAAAGTCATAATGTAAATAAAAGGAAGGAGGGTTAACTTGTCTTTTCAGGTACAAGCCTTTTGAAGATAAGATAATCAACTTACTTGGTGTTTCCTTAATCTCTGAAATTCTTACTTTAGCTTGGCAAAAGCTAATGGAACTGTGATATAATTTTTTTGTTGTTCAGTTACTTCACAACCCCATAAACCATAGCATGCCAGCCCCCCCCCCTCTATCTCCTGGAGTTTGTCCAAATTCATTGTGTTGATGACACTATCTAACCATCTCCTCCTTTTGCCTTTAATCTTTCCCACCATCAGGGTGTTTCCCAAGGAGTCCTCTCTTCTCATTAGATGGTATTTGAGCTTCAGTTTCAGTACCTATTCTTCCAAAGGACAGTCAGGGTTCCTTTAGGAAGCTTATAACTTTGGCTATATTTTAATTGCTAAAAGCAATTATTTTATATGGTGAGAGAAGTGAATACATGGATGCATTCATATTTCAAGTATTATCAAATGTATCACAGTTACATGTCATGGGTGTTACCTATGCAGATTAAATCAACATGGTATTTCTGGTCCTGTTTTAGGGAGCTAATGTTAGCTTTCCTAGAGAGCAGCTTGAACACAATTAAAGCCTGTAATTTGTTCAGAAATCATGATAATATTCACAAGCTGAATGTCAGTAATAGGCCAATGAAATCTAAGTTGTATAGCTTCTAAAAAGCTATTCTCCATAAGCAGCTAGATGCAAGTGACGTGTTACTTTTGAAGTGTACATTTTAAAAGCAAACATTTTCTATTTCTAAAATACTCCCAAATAAATTGTTGTTTGCTTTGTTGTGATTTAATATTATAGTAAAGTACAGAAATGGCTATAAATAAGGTATTCAACAGCCTTATTTGTAGCCATTATTTATTAGCCCTGGAAGGGAAGCAGGAGAAAGGAACTCAAGATTATCCTATCTTGATTGTCTGACATAAAAAGGGGAAGAGAGTAGCTTTGTCAAACCCTGCAGCAATACAATTCCAGTAATATTTGTGGAGTCTATTTTCTTTCCTGGCATATATAGAACAACTAACAAATACATTACTTAATTCTTTATTTGTTATACATCGCTTTAAGAAGGTTTTACCCTAAAAGATTGAATATATGTGCATTAATGCATAGGGGAGTAAGACAATGTGGTTTGGTTTGGGTTTTTTTTTGCAAAAATCTATATTTTGATCACAACTACATTTACCAACAAGCCAACACTGATTGTATTCTAGGCTATTGTATTTGGAGTTGCTCATGAAATGCTTATTTCTGGCATATGATGTGCAAAATAGCCATCAATGCATGAAAATATTTGAAATAAATTTTAAATGTCCAACTTTATATTCATATAGATCAATTACTAAAGATAAGTTTGTCATCTGCTTTGTTAATGATTACTGTCTCCAAATCTCTTCCGGAAGCTTTAAACAAGTATACTATGTCATAATTGCTTTGTTTTTAAAAGCTCCTTTAAAAGTATTCCTTATTGATAATTATTTGAGCTCACGTAGGTGAATTTCTGAGCCATAAACAATTACGGAGTAATCTGCTGATTCAATAATTCTATTATGGAGCGCATGGGATTTCTCAATCATTGAAGATAGACTCTAATTCTCTAAGTCTTACATGAGTTTCGTAGGAAAGTAAATCATCTATTGGATTCACAGATTAACTCCCAGTTACTACTTTTTTCTGAGGCTAAAGCAAACTACCACAGACAGATGCTAGCCCAATATAAGTTCTCCATTGGCATTTTCATTTTCTAGGCATTTTTCACAGGCGGATTCTTCAGCAAAAATTATAATAATCATAACAATTTCCCCAAAATGTGGATTTTCTAGTAATAGA